GCTATCTCTCTCTCTGTCAAATAAATAAATAAAATCTTTTTAAAAAATTAAAAAAAAAAAGAAAGAAAGCAAGAAAGCATTGGCACTGGCTGATCAAGCCCACACTTTTCCTGGAGAATGTATCAACTCCCACAAACTGCCTTCCTTTGTACATCGAATTCAGACTGATGTCCGTTTTTGAGTTCTGGCATGGCAGTGCAGCCCAAGAGCCACTGACCATTCGGTTTTGACAGTGACTTCTCTATGTTAGTGCTATATGTGCAACCATTTGTGGACCTCAGCATTTCATCCATGGTTTTACATTTTTTAAATTATTGTTTTAAGAGAGAGAATGAGTGTGTATGTGCCCATGTGCCAGAGGGGGAAGAGGCAGAGGGAGAGGGGGAGAGAGAAAATCTCAAGCAGGCTCCATGGTCAGTGCAGCGGAGTCCGACATGGGGCCCAGTCTCACAACCCCAGATCACGATCCAAGTTGAAATCAAGAATCAGATGCATAACCAGTGGAGCCACCCAGGTGCCCCTACATTTTTTTTGTTTTTTTAAGTAAACTCTACCAACAGTGTATGGCTCGAACCTATGATCCTGAGATCAAGAGTCACATGCTCTACCTACTGATCCAGCCAGGCCCCTAATTTTGTTTTTTTTCTTCACAGTGAATATCTGGTTGACCAACTTATGTTAGTGAATGTCCAAATGAAACTAAATATTCACCTTTTGTCAGTAATTCCCATCTTTGTTTCAGCTGTGTTGAGTCAGAGATACTTTGTTCTTTTCACCATGATTGGTATCATCACTTCTGTTTTTCTATTTTCCTTTTGTTTAGATAATAATAATAATAGTAGGCAAAATGCAATAAAATATCCACATGATATTTAGATATTTAGGTAGTTAGAGATTTTTATAATAATTTTTATTTTTTTTAAATTTTTTTAAAGAGGGATTTTATAATCATTTTGAGCTTGTTGAGATTGAAAGCCTTATGTCTGTTTGAGTTTCCAAACTTCGGTGCTATGAAGAATATATTACAAAGCAGATGACTCCAATTTATAGAATAAGAAAGATGAAAAATCACTAACATTAAAAAAAATCTTTTTGAAAACTTGTTGTGTCTTGGGATGCCTGGGTGCCTCAGTTGTTGGGCGTCTGCCTTCAGCTCAGGTCATGATCCCAGAGTCCTGGATCGAGCCCCTCATCGGACTCCCTGCTCCGCGGGAGGCCTGCTTCTCCCTCTCCCTCCCCCCCTGCTTGTGTTCCCTCTCTCGTTGTGTCTCTCTCTGTCAAATAAATAAAATATTAAAAAAAAAAAAACTTGTTGTGTCAGCCCACCCTGGGGATACAAAGGAGCTAAAAATATAAAGATCAAAATCTTTGAGAATAAGAAGCGAGTAATAACAGTAATCTAAAACTCTTTCATTGTAAACAGTTTCAAAGAAAGTATTCACTTAGGGTGCCTGGGTGGCTCAATCAGTTAAGCATCTGCCTTTGGTTCAGGTCATGATCCCAGGGTCCTGGGATTAAGTCCCGCATCAGGGGGACTCTGCTCATTGGGGAGTCTGCTACTCCCTCTGCCCCACTTGTGCTTGCTGTCTGTCTGTCTCTCTCTCCCCCAAAAATAAATAAATAAAATCTTAAAAAAAAAAGAAAGAAAGAATTCACTTAAATCAGAACTTGTATTTAGTGAAAAGAAAGATTAATTTGTAAAGAAAGAAATGCAGAGAAAATAAAACAGACAGAAAATTAGTAAATCAGATTTCAGAACATGGATAAATTAGCAGTGTAATTACACATATCCACTCATCCGTTTACTTTAAGAAGAATTGCTGGAATCACCATTAGGTTAGCATGGCATGTCCCGTAATGAAAAAAAAAAGTTTGAACTTTTGAGATCAGACACCCTAGTGTAATTTTAATCCCAGATGTTTTATACGGGTCCCGTAATAACCTGCTAGCTATTGATTTATAATAGAAAATAGACTGTGAATGAGAGCAAGCTGCTAGTGGAAAAAAAAAAATCATTCGATGTAGATTAGCTTAGTCTGCAGAGGCCGTGCCGCTCTTGGGAGAGGAAGGAAGAAGTGGTCTGAGGAATGAGCATCACCTCTGAGCCCAGGGAGCTGGCTCTGGGCGAGGCTTAGCCACATGACCTAGGCAGGTCACTGCTTAGGGCCTCCATTTTTCCTTTGCAAAAGGTGGTGATACCATGTAGGTAATTCTGCGGTCCCTCTAAGATCAATAGTAATTCCTTTATAAGAGGGAGAGGGTTGTGGATAGAGGTGGGAATATACTGGAGAGGTGTGTCTGACTTAGTGTAGCTCCTTAGGCACTCTTGCAGGGTACTCTTCGGTGTCCTGCCCTCTTTCTTTTACTTGGAACCAGCCCTTAAGCAATTGGTAAAAGGTAATACACATTATTTGTGAAGTTAATAAGGTTAATCTTAGAAAATGGCTTTGAGTTTCTTGGATGAAAAAGTGTAAACATGAAGTTATATTAATATACTTTGATCTGACCTTTTGCGGGGAATAAATCGTTGTTACTGACCTCTTCCCATGTATCATATAATAATTAATTCCTCATATGTGAGTGACCATTTATATTCCTTGGAGAATTTTATTCACTATAAAGTCAAAGCCATGAATATAAAACAGGAAATTTTTAGTAACTGCCACATTTGCCTTTGCCATGACATTGGTTAGGCTTTATGGGGAGAAACATGCAAAACAAGGAAGTATTAGTGTACCTTAACAAGCAAACAGCATTGTAGACAGGGAGTTTAAGTAATGAAAACAGAACATCAGCAGAAGAGAGGGATATGGGAGGGAGAAAAATAGGGAAATTACAACTTGAATAAGAGTGGTAATGGCAGTCTTTCTCAAGAAATAGGCAAATAATGTTTTAAAATATATAAAAATTACCCATCAACATATCTAATAACCTGAGCCCATTTGAGAAGGAAGGAGTTGGGTTGTCTTTGCGTCCCTGCATCTTGTACCATAGAACCTTGCAGAATTGAATGTCACTTTTGATTTAGAGCTTACAGGGAGACAAAACAAAACAGAGCTTGAGGTTAGGATCTGAGATGGAGATTAATAGGCATATGATGTAACAGTTTGGGCGTAGGTATTTGGCTGGAGGAGACATGATGGCCTGGAAATGAAATGTCTATCTTTAAAAAACAGTGTGGTGTGTATGATGGGATGAGGGTGAAGGAAAGGGTTTTAATTTTATTTTTATTT